TAAAAATCCCACCTCATAAAATCAGAGTAACTCCAACTCCGTAGACAGCACATTTCAGCCCATAGATAGACTCATAACACATAGTAACAGCCTCATTGTAAGCTTACTATAAAGTTAACTTAAAAAAATAAAAACTAATACCCTAATTTCGACAAATAAAAGAAGCCAGGCACAGTAACACCTAGATTTCTAAGGGCACTGTGTGTGCTAAAGAAGACATGAAGATAAAAAGAAGCTGGGGTGCTCTGCACAGGTCAGACATGGGTACACTGTTAGTAATTTGCTATCTATCACTCTTGACATGAGAGCCACATACACAGACACAACTGTTTGATAATGACTGAAAAGTTAACAAGCATCTTTTCATTCATCACCCAGTTGATCTGGCAGCTGTAGATCAAGACCAGCTCAACAAGTAAAACACCAGGGAGCTCTATAACATCAGTGGGTGCTTGTGGGTGCTGGGAGATGTCACTGTCCCTCAGGGGCTCTGGACTAGTGTGTGGGCACGGAAAACCCTACTGCCTCCTTCAGCAGCCTCCCAACTGGGAAGGGTTCAGCCCTGACCCTCTTCTCACCTTGCCACTCACTCTACACAAACTAATGACAGCAGAGTCAGTGAGCAAAAAGCATCAGTTGCCCTGCCTCTACCTTCCAATGATATTTGGTCTAAATAAAAGTTTCTGTGCATTTAAACAGTGTTCTGACATTACAGTAATTAGGTTATTCACATCAACTTAGTCCCTTCGATGATTCCCATAATGGCAGGAGAAGTGAATTTCATTTTTTTAAATTTAAATGAAATAAACCACTGGCATTTAAATGTGCTTTCAGCTATCAGATTTGCTGCTGAATGTTATCCATTTTTTATTCAAAGACTGACAAATGTTTTAAAAGCCTGTGCTTCATGCTGTGCAGAACAGAACTTTTACTTTAACCAAGAAAATACTAATATATTGAAGAATTTATTTAATACTGTGCATATTTTGAGAGTCAAATAGATAACAGTACCATTGAGCAGTACTTATTCTTTCCTTGAAACTCTAACAACTAAAAAGCACTGTATTGCTTGGATTTTATTATTTTAGCCAGCCAAAAGTGGTTTAAGACTTGATTCTTCCTTTCAAATACATAGGTGTTTATTGCTAAGCGTCTTACAAAATCAGCTACAAACACAATGTACTGGTACTCACAATGTTCATTTAAATATCCACTGGACAAACTACAATGTCTTGTCATTATTCACTATGATGACCTAAGATACCTTCCAACTTTGAGTGCAAACTCAACCTGAAATGTATTTGCCTTTAAACTTTAGTCAAGCCATTGCCTAAGTTAGCCATTTAGATGCTGCTCATTTCAGCACCAAGCTATATTTGGGACAGACCAAGAAGCCTCAGAAGGTTGCAAGACTGGATGCAGTTAGTGAATGTTTCCACTAGAATTGAAGCCATTTTTTTTAGGATTGTACCAAAAAAAAAAAAAGGCAAAAAAACTGCCAACAAAACAAACAAAACCCCCAAACAACAAGAAAAAAAAAAACAAAAACCAAAACAACAACAACAAAAAAACCCAAATGAAAAACCCATAAACCAAACTAAACCAAACCAACCAAACGAAAAACCCCACAAACCAAAAAAACCAACCCAACCACTATTACTAACATTTGGGATCATCCACACTTCCTACATTTTCAGACTCACTACAGCTGGGCCTTTGCATCCCTATGCACAAAGGTGTCACCAACTCCACTGATGTGCTCCTCCTAAGTTTCTTAATGCATTGTACTTCCAAGCAGGCTGGAGAAGGTGTAAAATAGGAAAATCAAGTGGTAAGTACTTCTGATGGCATCTGGGGCCGTGACACAACAGCTGCCTCCAGACAGAGCAGGGATTTTAGAGCAAAGCTGCGTGGTCAGGCAGGAAATCTTGCTTTGCAGAAGTATCAATGAAGTGAGCTTTCACTTCATTCAGATATTAGTCACCACCAAGCAGCAAGTCTTTCCTCTGCCCTTCTCCATTCCAACAAGGAAAGGCCCAGTAAAGTCTACTTTTTGTCTCCCTTTCTCTTTGCTTCCTGGGAACCATCCCACTGGGGGTCCCCATCTTAATTTAAATCTTAATGTCAAGTACACAGCATGTGCTTTGAATCACATACTCATTTCAGAGCTAACATCACACACTTCTGGTTTATTTCTGCACCCATAACTTGCTTTAGGTTAGGCTGCAGACTTTCTTCTCACTTTACCCAGCTTTTCATTCCTTCAGTAACTATGCTTCATAAATAGATTTCTACACAATCAATATAAAGATGTGCAAATCCTTACTGGAGCTTTTCCTCACCTATACAGGGTTTGAAGTTTAAACACATCAGTTGAATCAGAAAAAATATATAAGCTTTGTATGACCTGTTTCTCTACTGACTTTAACTTTGCAAAGTAATTTATGTCTGCTCCAAATGGGTTCAGAGTACTGCCATCCTCATGGGGTAATGATTTATGAAGAGTTAGCACACAGGTGAATATGTGTAGTGCAAGAACTTGCAGATTCAAACCCTTTGTTTCCCTTTGTTGCTATTTAATTATGAGTGAAGTGGAAGCAAAGAGTTTAAATAAACCTAGTCAAGTATACAATGCCAAAGAAACGCTAGGGGATTAAAGAACTTAGTATAACTTTCTGTGTGCTTGGGTTTTGTTGCTTTTTAAATCCCAAATCATGTAACTTTTTCCACACTCATTTCACTCTATTCTTTTCTCTATTAGATTATTTCCTTTTTATTTTGCAATTCTACTTCTCGCCCTGGAATGAATTGCTCGCTAACACATTCTGAAGACAGGCTTAGAATCTAGAGGTTTAGTCTGCCCTATAAGAAATGCTGCCTTTCCTCAGTTTCAAACCTTCAATGGAAACCACATCTTAGAAGAGCATTCAGTAAGGACTCAAGAAGCTAAACAGTCCAAAGACAATGTTTGTATTCTCTAGCTATTGTTGGTCTCCACATTAATGAAACTGCTGTCGTATCCTGTTGAAAGAATGGGACATGCACCACTGCTCTGCTAAGCTAATAGGTAAATTTTACAGTCATTTGTCTTATAACTAACCAGTAATCAATATCTCAAACTTTTAATAAGATTTTCATATATGTCAAAATTGTGAAAGCCTTAAAGAGAGAACAGTTTTTAATAAAAAAAATAAAAATTGAGCATGACAAACCACATGGGCAGCATCATTGCATGCTTTATTCCTGCAAGATAAAGGGTTTGCAATTTAGATGATCTGTCTTTAAAATGTTAGGGTGAAAAATAAACCTAAATCACATTTTCTTTAAAAGGAATAAATTAATTTTTACCATCAGTATACAAAATCATATCAATCAATCAATCCAAATTCTCTATTCCATTGCATTATCTAGGACATAAAGCTGTTTTCATGTTAGCCTATGGTTTTAAATTCCAACAAATGTTATTTGGGAAGTAAGATTGAAAGATGAAGCATGGAAGAAAATGACATTTTGTGTACCATATAATTACCAATTACCTACCAGTGGAACTAATCAAATTGTATAAATTTAGACTGCAGATTCATCAACCAATTACCTTTGAGAACATGTTATGCCCCTCATCAGTGATTCAACCTACACTCCAAGTATTAAACAACTTACTATGGATATTACAGGGATCTATTTTATTCAAAGAAACACAACCCAAAGCACGGTAGTTAAAAGCTGCTGCAAGTAATAATATTGTTAAAATATTGCCACTGATGTAAATTTATTTTAAAATTATCTAATATTAACTTAAACTTTTTACTTAAGTTACAAAAACAGTAGTGATTTACTATACCAAATTAAAGCAGACTGAAATTGATGTACTATATTCTACAAAATCACACTTTTTGTAACCTCTGCTTATTACACAGCACTAAAAAGTGATGAAATACAGCTAGCAACTGGCTAAGAAACCATTTATGCATTAATTTAGGTGCTTCATTTAGATTTAGAAGAAATTATTTAAAAATACAGTATCTGTGAATTATTTTTCTTTACATGAGAAAATTTTCAATTAAACACAATTTTATTTTCATACCCCCAAAACTTCACTTGAATTAACTGCAGAAATTAATTTGAAAAAAATCAGCTACTAGTGAATGTCTATCAGAATATATCTCAAAAGAAGGAAGAGAGTGGTAGTATGGTTTCTTTCTTTTCATAAAAACGCTCAGTTAGATATCACAAAATACTCAATTACATAAATATGTGCTGGTTAAAAGCAATAGGACACCTATTCATGATAACAAAGTATGAGCTTTCTACTATTGTGCCTGAGCATTATTCTGGAATTAATTTCTAATTATGTTTACAGCACTATCCCCAGCTTTGCTAGGAATTACTATTTTCACATTAATGAAAATATTAATTCCCTCCTGAGGCTTGAAAAAACAGTTGCAAATTTTGCTCAAAAAATAAAAAGCTTTTAAATCATACTTTTTTCTCTGCATAAACCAAGTCGATAATTAAAAATTTCATATTTGATGGGATATAAAGGATTGTATTAAAAAAATATATTGGCTCATGTTCAATCTTTATTTAGGTTTAAAAACTGCTATCTGATTCCCAGTTGATGCCACACACCTCTGCAGACTGCTGTGTGCAGCAGGTAAGGAATGAAAGTCCCATTTGTGCAGCTCACAGCTTTTCCCAGGCAGGGCCATCCTACTCTGCTCTCTAATCTCATATATGGGCCCAGGACCATTGACATAATGAATGACATTTACTCAAACCAGTTTTAAGGGTAAGAGGAAAACGACTACTGGGCATGCACAAAACCTATCATACATGTAGCTAAGCAGGTGGAATGTGAAACTGAGCCCAATGAAGAGTCAAGCATAGAGTGCTTCAAAAAACAAGGAAACAGCCAAACCTTTGGAGAGCAGCATGAACATCAGCATGATTCTTACAGCAAAGAGAGGGAAGAAACCTCCTTCAGTAACATGTAATCCCTTGCAGGACCACCACAGGCTGCTGACAAGGCACGGTGATCCTGATCCTGAGACGGCTTCTGCACCTGGAAAAACAGCAGCAGGTTTAGCATAACACCAAAAAGCAGAAAAGTTCAGTATTCAAGGGTTCTTGTCTTCTAATCTTTAAATGTAGTTAAAATACCTAAATAACATAATGCTGTGAATAGTAGTAGTATTGTAGCTGAACGAGTAATCACCGTTGTATTTTAATCCTCCTCTTAATTAAACTAACAATAAATTCTGGGCTTTGTGTACCTGATGCATTGCCCTTTTTTTGCACAAAACGAGACTTTGAACATAGTAATATATAGATATGGAGAGGATATTTGTCCTGTCCCATTTTCATGCACTACATTTCAATATGCTGTGTACAAATAAGTCCATATGTTCCCAGAATCCACTTGGAAATCACTGCTTCCTTAGAGTGCTCGTTATACCCAGACAAACTGCTTCCCACAAGCATCCTAATCAGGCAGTGGTTATTCAGTTCCCTGATGCCTCTCAAAATACCACTGATGTTTAGTAGAAAAGGGAAAGCTAGGTCTATTTTTCCTAAGTCGCAGATACAACCAAGGAATTAGATTTCTAAATATTTGTTTTGCTTTTAATGAAAAAGCTCACTTCTTTAAACAAAAATTTTCTTCCTCTCCTTATGAAAATGTGCATTGTTTCTGGTAACAAGCAGTTACCAGAAGCAGTGGGAGGTGTACTGCTCAGCATACAGTTTTGGCCCCCATGGCCTCAGACTGAAGATTGCACTTGTGTTTTACATGGAGCTGATTTTAGAGAAGGTTTGATGACACTAAGGAATCAGATGAAATTAACTCACACTGTCATTCTTTTTACCCAAAAGAAGAATAGAGCTATGGGTCCTGCTTTCTGAATGGGAATGGCATACACATTAAAAGTCAGCTTTGGGAATTCCTTTTGCATTATTACCATGAATATAATATCTCCACATCTCTCTTCTGACAATATTGTCAGTAATAGTTTTTCTAGCTATAATTCCTCCTTTGGGAGCCAAGTACACAAAGACGACAACTTTACAATTTAATTAAAGGTAACAATGGAGAAAATATAATAATAAAGTGAGTATAACATTTCATAAGAGTCAGATACAAAGGCAGAGATTGTTGAGCGTCTCACTGATAAAGCACTGAAGCCTTTTTACATTTTACAAATTAGAGAAGTAGTCCCAGGAGTTCACGTTGAAATGTTGAAGGATCCAGCTTGTAGGGTGTCTTTACAGTTTCACTCTGTATAGAGAGGAAAAGGAGAAAAACATAATGCTTTTACAGCTAAAAAGAGTGTGAGATCCTTCCTATTGGTAGACAAGTATTAGAGATATGACAGGATCCATCTATACAAAAAATCTCTTGATAACTGCTGAGAGTTTCTGACTTTTGACTGCAAGGCCAACCAGAAAACAAGACTTTTAGCAACGAGGAAAGGTGCTTGGTCTTTAATGTACATATTCTTTCTTTAACTACAGCTTTGTTGTAGATAAAGAAAGTATATTACATATACTAATGTAGATATTCTTTGTTTAACCACAGCTGAGAGACATGAGTCTATGTATACTGTTCCTTTAACAATTACTCAGGAAACCATTTCTCTGAGACAGGCTCGATTTCTGAGGGGAAGGATTGGCAAAGTGAAAAGCCTGGAAAAGTTGAAGGCCCAAAAAAGACTAACATGATGGGCTCAAAGGATAATAGACAATTTAGGCTAGGGCATTCTACAGGCAAAGGTAGCTTAGTTTTGAAATGCAGTTGTCAACAGTAATTTTAAATAAAACAAATGGGGACAGGTTAGAGAAGAAGACTGCCCCCTGGGCTTTCTCAGAAGTAAGCTGGAAGTGCATTTACTTGCCATGCACTTACCTTTCCTACCTCCTTCTCCATGCAGGCACTCCATACACAGCCTTCAGACAGCTTGTTTCAATGTTTTGAGAACTCCATCACAATAGACTTATTTATCTTTAACGGGTTAGTTGATTCTCAGTTATTCCTCTTCTGTCTTCTGATCACTTCCTACCACCTTTGGCCAAATCTTCCTATCAGTCTGTTGGTTTCGGAGACAGAAAAAAAATCACACAAAAAAACTGCCCACTTTTTCCTTTCAGAAGGAAGAGGTAATTTAGTGTTTCCTTCCAAGATGGATGATCTCATTAAGCAGAGTTTTTTCTAGCTCTTCCTTGTCAGGTGAGCAAGGACTCAGAGTGGGTGTTCAGCATCTCCTGTGACTTTGTGTCAATAAGACACATGATTTCACAATGCTCTTTAAGTGAGGGACGCAAAGATTTGCAGAGTTAGGTGCATCACAAACCCATACAACCTGACTGTGGACTTGAGAGACACTCATTCATGGGATTTGCAGAGCCAAGATTTAAGAAGAGGAGATCAGTTTCAAGAACCAGCATTTCTACAAGAGTGATGGTGGCTTACACTGTAAAAAGTAAGAAGCCAAACAGTGTCCATAATTCCTTGCCTTTTGTTTCTCATTACAGCCAGTTACACCTTCTGTGCATAAGACACATGACCACATCAAAAAGCTCATCAGACATTACCTCCATCACTACTGCTGTGTCACTGATCACGGCAATAGCAGCATCAGAGGAAAGCAGGTCCAGGACACAAATTGTGTCTTAATTCCTGTTTGTTTAATCTTTTAAAATCTGTGGATAATGTCTGCCAGATATCCCAGGAAATACAGTAATTAATTAAAAATTATACAAATATGTGTGATTGAAATGAATATTTGCCAAATCCAGTATTTTTCACACACCTGTTCTTTCCCAGATATGAGATGTAGCAGTTGGCAGCAAAACTAAGTAGAGAGAGGAAAAAGTCCTCCTGTGTAATAGAAAGAATGTCCATTAGCTAAATGGAAAAAAACAAGATGACAAAGGGGAAATAACAGACTAGAAAGTTCAAGAATCCAAATTAGTGTTAACAGTTCAATTTATCTTGCATAATATTACAGTAATTGGATTGTGTCTATCATCCTGCTGTTGTGACACACTTGGTTTGCTCTATTTGTTCCTGACAGTTTCCCACAGAGACCACTGTTTGATGGCGATCAGTTTTGCAAACTCCAGCATCTCTTATTTTCCTTGCTACCAGAGCTGAAATGTATGGCAGGCTGCACTCACAACCCTCACAAGTCATGAGACCTGGATGGCTGCTCTTCACTACAGCAACAACATGTATACAGACAAAAGAGTTCTCATATATTAATACTTTAAGACTAACTTATTGAAGCTATTAAGAATGTCAATGCATGTTTCTTTTCTTGGTGGTTAAGTCATCAGCAGTGAAAGGTAAAGGAGTAATTTTCATCAGCCACAGAAGACTGAGTATAGGTCATGGTGAGTTCAAAGACAAATAATTTAAGAATCAAAGCCTCAGTGGAATGCATCAGACGTAATGCCGAGTAAATCACTGTGTCAGTATGACTGATTAAATATTAGGAAAAAATGTGAATTGATTTTAAAAAAGAAAAAGAAAAGCTTTGTATTTTATTATGCTATAAATATTTTTTCTGCCACGCTACCATTACATTTTCCATTTTGTTGTATTGACCTATAATAGAAGTATAACGTTTGCCTCAATAAGGTTAAGCATTTTAATTTAAAATCCATAAAGGTGAATCTCAACTAGAAACAATGCACAGCTAGCCAACATTGTATAATACTATAGTATTATCACATAGTTTTTTCACATAACTAGCAGAATAAATACTGTAATTCATCCTAAATCTCAAAAATAAGCACTGAATTTCATGTATTAATGTTAAAGCAAAATTGTCATATTTCATGTATAACAAGAAAATCTTCATTCTCAATGTCTTAATATTACTGACCTGCTAAAAAAAAATATAAGATTAAGGACGTGTCCTACAAACAGAAAATAGAAAATATTGTTATAGAATAAAACAAACAAACATATCCCTTAACACATAATGCATAAAAATGCTGTGATATTTCTGTGGGTTTTTATATTTTTCAAAATTCTATGATGTTCCTTCCAAGCATTAAAGCTCAGTAAAGTATAACTTTGAAAGTTACCAATTTAAATTGTAAACATACTGGGTTTTATTAGACACATTGTCTTGTGACAGCAGGGATAAAAAACAGTCTAAATTGTAACTAAGATAACAGCACTAGTTAGCACAGAAACTGGTTAAAGGTGAAAATGGAATGACAAATATTAAAAAATTCTTTCAGGCAGGATTTACTTTATTTGCAAAATAAGATTTTTCTAAGCACTTCGCTTACATACAAGTGAATGTAGAGAACTTCCACACTACAGAGTTTAAAAGTGTATTGTAGAGAGTTAGGGATGAAAAGCCAACTTGCAGTTAGTTTGGAGTCCCCATGCCCAGATATGTTCCCCCCTGTTTTGGGAAGAGGAGGGATGTCTTGCCTTAAACTCAGTCTAGGATTTGAGCTAGAGCAGTAAGCAAAGCCAGGCCCAGTGCTATGGTGGGTCTCTAGAGGACGTGCCCCAGGAGTGGTTGTCCAACACCTGAGGAGTGTCACAGCTCCCGTGTGGCAGAAAGCAAAACAGAGTTATGTGGGGCAAGGGAGGCCACATGATGGATCAGGGTCTGGGAAGACCATGATGGGAAAGTTGGGTATTATGACAAAATGAGAAAGTGCCCGTGTAGCTCTCCACTCCTCCCTGCTAACTGAAAGCAGATGGAAAGAAGGAAAAAAGGAGAGGAGAAAAGCAAGACAGCAGTGGACAGGCTTCGTTAGCTTTGTTAACTTTACATTTCAGGCTCTCCAGGATGAAGACTGCTCCTTACCATGCATGCACAGCACCTACCTACTATTGACTTGCTTACTTACTTACTTACTTACTACTACCAATGACTGTAGTAGTAGTAAAAATTCCTGGTTTTTCTTCTTAAAAGAAGACGGGTTAGCCATTTATAAGCGATGACCTGTCCACTGTAAACAAATTGCTTTTTCTTTACTTGCACCTTCATTACTCAGCTAAGCAAATAAGCCAAAAGGGATATTACCAGAAAACATCCTTCTGTGATGTTTACAAAATAAGATATTTATACAGATTCCTCCTGCAAAAAAGATATTTAGAGATCCAGAAATAGTAAGCTCATCAGCTACAGAAAGGAGCCATTTTACTGTCCAAGTAAATATGGACTACTTTTGTTCTGCAGTTCTTCAGCTGGTAAAGGCATCAAAATTCCTCTCGCTCTGGACATCTCATGAGATTTCTCCAGCCTCAGGGCTGCAGAAACTCACTCTGTTCTTGAACATGGAGGTGCACATTAAAAACATGAGCTGAACAGCAAGAGAACTGGAAAGCTTACCTAAACTGCTCTTGAAACTATTCTGTACCTCCTGCATCTCTGTTTATGGTTTATTTATATGGGTTGACCTGATTGGTTACAGCAAGTAAAATGTCCTCTGGACATTCATTAATATACCCAAGCTGAACCATTAACCTGAGCTATTTGGGAAATACCTTGACAAATCAAACTTCCAAAGTCTAATTCAATATACAATATCATAGTAATAATAGGTTCATAAATTTCACTAACACTTCACTCAGTATCAGCCTATATCCACTATCTGAACACTCATGGAAAGGAAAGGTTACTACAGTACTAGTTTTTGTATGTTCCCATGACTGTGCACATCTGTGAGACAGCTTTTTGTCATATTTAAAATGAAATATGTAAGCAAATTTGATTTTCAAGCAAATATGTTTATCTCAGCATGTGATACTGAGGCACTTCTAAGAAGAATTTTTTTGTATCTGCTGGCTTAGGTCATATATGAAAATTACATAGTCCTTGAAATGTTTACATTATACATAAATCATATAACTATACCTTGCAATGATTTAACATTCTAGTGTAAGATTTTTTGGCATTAAAATAAATAAATAAATAAAGTAAATAAATAAATTAAAATAAATAAAAATAGACTCTGTTATAATATTTGCATTGTGATTATTTCACCTTCAGTAACTACAAATTCTTAACTCTTAGTTTAATTGTCCCTGCTAGTCCTCTAGAAGTCATAAATGGCATGCAGATATACTTCTTATAATCTAATATTTATTTTTCCCTGTGCTATATTTAATCTCAAATTCGTGGTTTTCCTTCTAATTTTCCTTTAAAACATAGCAGCATTTGATAGCTTTGTATCCTGGGGAAAAAAATAAAACAAAGGAATATTTTTATCCAACCACAAAATGATGTCAGAAACCCAACAGGGAACAAACACCATGATGGAACAAAAATAGTCCAGAGATACTCTTTCAAAGTTGAGCACCTGCTGTAAAATAACCATCTGTGTTTAACTGTAATTTAATTATAGGTTCATTCCTTTTGTGTACTCTGGAAGGATCTCATAGGTCTTCCCCAGTTGGTCTGCAATCAACTTTTGGCATTTTGCAAAGGCAACAGACATGTTCTCTTAATAACACCTGCTAACTTCTTTCATTCCTGTTTCAGCAAAGGTCTTCTGGGATTAAACAATGGTGTTTAGAAACAAAATAAAAAATCTTATTAAATCTGAAATAAAAACCTGCATTAATGAATCACCTGCCCTAAAAAGTCAGTATTAATGGCTATCAAATATACCATTTCCCTTTTCACAAAAGTAACCCAAGAACCACAAAGGTAAAAGATTTTTTATTATTATTTTTGAGGGGGAAAAAAATCAGTATTCTCCAAAGATCTCCAAGCTACTGTGGCAATCTATATTAATTGAAAATTTCTGCACAACACCTCAAAGCAAAATAAAGCTCACAGACATTAATACTTGCTGAAACTAAGCCTGTCTATTAGAGATTTATTGGAATTAAAGCAAAACAAAACACAAAAAAACCCCCCAAACAAACACAAAAAAAACCCCACTAAAACCACCCAAACAGAAAGTTCTTTTGGGTAGAAGATTACCAAATTTCATCCTCTTGTGGATGCTACCTGTGAACAATTCATTAGGCCATATGATTTAAATATTAATGCCCAAAGTTAGCTA